ATGAAACATAATGACTTAATAGTGTTGCTTTATAACCTTGAGTCTGAGGACTTTCAAGACGTTGTGTACTGGCAACAATGAAACAGATGATTTGCACCTCAGTGCAAACTCGCAGAGGGCTCTCCCTTCCCGGCAGGCTCTGTCAACAAGAAAACACTGATGTAGCCAGTGAGGTAGAAGAAACACTGGCTGAAGCCCTGCCTGGAACCCCTCTTTCCAAGGGATTCTGTACAGAAGTTGGTGGTTCCTGATTTAAGAGACAAAACGTGCCCTGGTACAGCCCTTACAGCAGGAGGAAACCTGGAGCTCAGGAGTGTCTCCAGACCCTTTGCTGTGAGGCAGCCTTGGGCTGTGCTGTGTGTTCTTACTTCAGGGCTAGTCTATTTTGTGTCGTGCTCTGACAGTAACCTGCAGACTTGTGCATTGCCATTTTGGATCCTGTGAGCATTTGAACCCCATCTCGCTGTGGAGACCCAAGGTCTTTTACAAACATGAGGGTAAAATAGCCTAGGAGTGGACAGGACAGTCTTTCAGGTCCCTTAGATGCCAGGGCACACCACACACTCCTGCCTGAGCCTCGCAATGAGCTGCCTGGGGAGACAGAATTCATCTAGAGAGATACAGGGGAGATGTTAATTAATTGTGGTGAGGACAATTAATTGTGATAATGAAGGTTTAAGAAAGATATTGGAATATAATGGTAGATGGTTGTCCACTGCCTGTCTTATCTGCTAGAACACTGTGTGTAAAAATAGCCATTTGTGGGTAAGAAATCCATGCAGAGCTAGAGCTACAATTAGCGTACTCGGATTGCTGACAAAGGAAAATAATTAGTTACAACTTGATGGCCTACATTCCTTAGGATGGAAAGACTAAATCTCAACATGGATGGCTATGAGAAGCACTCCAGTAACACAAACCAAAATTCACTTAGGGGTCATTGCTACTCATACAAGGAACTCAGCATTTTGGGGTCTCCGCTTTATTTCCTGAGTGGACTAAAGCAGTGGTACTCACCAGCAACAACATGTGTGGAGGATCAGACAGCATGTGGCCCACTCAAAATAAGAGACCTTAAGAGAACCAGGAGCTGGGCTAGGGGAAATGGGCTGAGCTGAATCTGTTTTTCATCAGGAAAGACATATTGCAGGAGAAGAACTTATAACATAAGCAGGACACCTGGAAGGCATCCTAGTCCAAGGAGAAGGGCAGACATAGCTGGAACGA